TTGTTACCCTGCAACACATTTGAGACTCTCCACTCTGAATCATTTCCACACTTCGAAGCTTTAACCATTATGTTGTAAACTAAGCATTTCCCCAACCTGGGGTCTTTTGAGGAATTTTGTGGGGCTTATCGAGCCCTATGGAAAAGCACCAAACTTGGGTCGTTTCAGACACTTCTCTGGCAGCTGCATTGCTGATACAAAGCAGCAAAACTTCCAGTGTGGATTATCAGGAACACTACTGAGGCATTGCTTAATGCATTTGATATCTCAGCCTGAAGAACGGGAGCAAAAAAAAAAAAAGATTGGCAGCTATTGCAGGAATTCAGATAGGGGCACCTTGGTAAAGAGTGTGGGGGGGTGAGTTTACTTCCATTACAGAGCCCAGGGCTGAGATGGATTCCCTCTCCATCATTGTCCTAAGCACATTATCCCTGAAAGAAAGAGGGTTTCTCTGAATCTGCAATTTTTCTAGGCTTCAGTGTTATTGAAATGAAACCGTTTCAAGGATATCTACATTCTTTACCATCATATGGATTCTCATCTCATGTAAATTATTTGGCCACTTTTCATTTTAATCCTCCGCTGTCATTTTCTACAAAAGAGATCATTTGGTTTCTTCATGGAAGGTATTCAGCTGACAGGTGCCCTTTGTCTAGAAAGCAGTGTGCCTTTGCAGGAGTTACTCCTGCCTGCTCTTTTTCTTTTTAAGTTCATATTGCTTCATATTTTTCATCTGTAGCTTTCAGGAACTTTTCAGACTGTGAACAGGCTGAGGTTTGTAGCTGTGAAGAGAAATTCAGAACCCCATGTTGTTTCCCTGTATACCTGGCTAATAAGAAACAGAACTAGAGGCAGAATAATTAATTTACTGCTTGCAGCAATAACTTGTCAGAAAAATCAGTGTTTTCACAACTTCTGCGTGGGCAAATCAAAAGAGTCAGTGATGAAGTCTTGAATTTTTTTCCATGGCTTCCCTATCTTGAAAGCTCAGTTATTCTCACCTGCTTTCCCAAAATTGTGAAGTCATATAACAACAGAATCATTAAGGTTGGGAAGGACCTCCAACTGTCAACCCAGTACCACTGTCATGTTCACCACTAAACCATGTCCTCAAGTACCGTACGTTGGAAATTTTAAATGTGCTTTGTGTTGTGGTGTATCACCCACAAGGCCCATTAAGACCTTGAAGTGATGGAAAAAAATGTGCTGTGTTGATAGAGTGTATGTACAGAGAATCTGGAGGCTGAGGCTGAAAATCAGCCCTTAGGATTGAGGTTTTATGTGTTTGGTTAGCTGTAGCTTTGAGATATTTGCCTTTAAGAGTGGAAACTTCTGAGTGTGATAAAAGTCTGAGTCTCTGATAAAAGCAGCTTATACTCCATCAAAGGTTAAAAGCACAGTGTGGTCATGGAGAAGAATATTCTGGCCTAATAATGGCCTGCAGCTGAAGGGAGGTAGATTTATGTTAGATATTAGGAAGGAATTCCTGGCTGTGAGGGTGGTCAGACACTGGCACAGGTTGCCCAGAGCAGCTGTGGCTGCTCCATCCCTGGAACTGTTCCAGGCCAGGTTGGATGGGGCTTGGAGCAACCTGGGCTGGTGGAAGGTGTCCCTGCCCATGGCAGGGGGTTGGAACTGGATGATCTTTCAGGTCCCTTCCAACCCAAACCTTTCTGTGATTCTGTTATCAGGATACACAGTTTTGGAGAGCACAAGTTGAGGGATGGACAAGTTTATAGGCAACTTTAATGTGTGTGGGAAGGAGGAGGCACATCATAAATGTGGGCAAGGAATAAGCCAGCAGGTGGGAGAGGCAGGTTCTAAAATTATTGTGTCAGCTACAGAAACCAAGTTTAACTACTTTGGTAGTACCCTTCCAGCTGGTACCCACTTAGCCTTGTGATTTCCATAAAAACATCTTACTGACCAGGAGAGCTGCCTGAAAGCTTCTCAGATTTTTGGTGTTGTTTCATAAAACAGGGATTTAGGGTGAGAAGAATTTCAGATTTTCAAGTGGGAATCACTTTCCTTGTAGAAACATTTAGACATTCTCATTAAAAGATGAGAAATTTATGTGTCAATTTAAAGAAAATGTTTCAGAAGAGTGAAAAATGTTTTCATCCAATTAAATAAATTGGTGTAAAATGTGTGAAGGTAAGAATTACTTTCTCAGTAGCAATCTTTTTATTGGACTACACAAAACTTCCTCATTTGTCACAAGAGGTGACAAATTCATTGTCCAGTTCTGGAAGTTAGCTCCATCATGGGAAGATTTCCTGTTATCCCAGAGAATTGTAAGCTTGAGCTTAAGTTTTGTTGTTGTTAGAGCATATGAGCTGCTTTGTTGGAGCCAGGCAAAGCCTGGCTGTGGCTTGCTAAAAGGATAGTGTTGAGTTACATGCCAAGAGAAAGATCTCTCGTGGCTCTTGTGTTGTCTTTGCGGCATTAATTGGTGTCTCAGTTTCTTACATCAACATAAGAATGGGCAGTTCAAGTATACACTGATTCTTAATTTTACAGTTTTAGTCATTTCTTCCATAAATATTAGGTATTGTCTATCAGCTTTGTGATCACAGGTGATCCAGATTCCTAATATCTCATGGTATCAGAACTTCACTTTCTGGTTTCAGGTCATCGCTATGTAGATCTATCAGGTTTTCTAATTTTATGGGGTGTTTGTTCTTGATGCTTGACAAGTAGCCATAAAGCAGTAAATAATGTTCACAGAATGACTGGAGTTGGAAGGGACCTCTGCAGATCATTAATCCAACCCCCATGTGAAAGCAGGTTGTGCAGGATCATATCCAGGTGGGTTTTGAATATCTCTAGAGAATGAGACTTCACAACTTGTCTGTTATCAAAGGGACTCCATAAAATTGCTGTTATGGAGACCAAAACTTCCTGAGGGAGTTTATGTACATGTAGTGATGACCTGGTTCCTGGCTAGGACTCCCAAGTCATGTGATAGATTCATGTAAATAATAGCACAGCACTTTTCTTCTGTGATGTCCTGATGCTCCAGTTCTTGGCTCTGGGCAGAGAGTGGAATGCTCTGTTTTGTAGGTGGGAGGGCTGTGATATTGTCATGAGGCAGTTTAACTGGGATCCTGAGCTTTTGCTTCCATCATTAACTACTGAAAAAAGCATTTTCTACTCTGTTTTCCAAGCTCTCCATTCTCTAAAAATGCACCTTTGTAATGAACACAATCCCTTGGAACAGAAATTTGCAAGTTAAGATAGACACACACATCACTTCAAAGGCTGTAATCAGAGACAGGATGGTGGATATGGAAGAGAAAAGAATATACTTCAAAAAATAACATGTCCAGGGGGTGTGATGTTCATTATAAATTCTGATTGGGCTGAACAAACACACGTGTCCACATGTCAAGGAACCCATCCATCCTTTTACTATCTAGTCACCTTGACTCCAGCAACTATCCCACTATGTAAATGTAGAAATGTTTGGCTAACAACCGCTCAACTTTTACAAGTGACTTTAACAAAACTTTAACCCAACTCCCAGAACAAATTCCAGGTCTCAGAAGTGTTGGCTAACAAACTCTCAGTTCTTAGAACTAACAACCTCCCAATCCTCACAGCAAATGTCAGTATGGAGTAAGGGATCAAATGTGATAGCCACACTTTGCCAAGCCAGAACAAGAGAGGAGAGAAATAAAGATGGAAAAGAGAGAGGGAGGAGAAAAAAGATCACCAGTCCTTAGATCTTGTGTTGGTTCTGTCACCATGGATGGTCCAGATCTGGGGTTGAGAGAGAGAGAGAGAGAGAGAGAGAGAGAGAGAGAAAAGAAGAGCAGGACCAATCCACGTGCTTTTATAGTTCAGAGAGTGTTCCTGCTGCTGGCAAAGCTCAAGTTGATCATATGATCAATCATCCTGGAATAGTTTGGGTTGGAAGGGACCTTAAAGCTCATGACCTTAAGGGGCCTTAAAGATCATGAGCATGGAGAATAATAATTGCCTCAGTATGCCTAAATCTCCTACTACCAGATGATCTACAATTAAAGGAAATATCTTATTTTCAAATCCAGAGCAGCTGTCCAGCAGCCAAACCTGCTGCTGATCAAAGTTGATAAAAGAATTCCTGGGATTATATATTATGGATAATCTACAGACAAAACAGTAGTAGTCCCTGCTTGTGGTGTGATTATCAGAATCCATTGAAGTAAACAGGACATTTTGTTGTTTTTAATGCAAATCTGATAAGCTCTGTAGAATGTAAATCAGTTCATTAAAATTTGTAAAGCAGTTAAACGAAGGAAAAGAGGAAACAGTTTTAACTTTTATAGGATGTTTGCTGCATATAAAGTACAATAAAATCACAATTATTCTGGAAAAAATGTTGTTAGAAATATGCTATACTCAGTGTGGTGTTCTGAGGAAGATTTAGAAACTTTTAATTCTGGTTTTAAAAGAATAATCTGATTCTAGAAGTCTCGCTGTGCAGTTTTGTGCAATCTTCACACCATATCTGTTTGAAGTATGAAGTATTTGTGTGTTTGGTATAATACATATGTACAGGTATGTATGCATGTGTGTATATTAACCCAGCTGTCAGAGTAAATGTTGAACAGCTCCTTCTGCCAAAACTGAGGGTAAGTCAGGGGAAAAAGTATGTAAATGATAATAAACAAAGGCAAAGGCATGGCCTATGGTGTCTCTGACATGGTGTTTCACTTGACAGTCTTAACTCTGATATCCATAGAATTGCCTAATTTGTTGCATCTCTAGTACAGTATTCCAAGGTGACACTGCAGATTTTGAGATAATACTAATTTTCCTGAGGTGTTTGGGAAGTTTCCTCTACTCTGTGGTTATAAGTGCAGGCTGATACTACCGTACGCATAAAATTCACTGTGGTACCTCTGTAGGAGTGATGCATAATTTAACAGCTGACACCTTCTAGTGAAGCTGCTTGTTGAACCTTCATGCTCTGATTTCTGGAAAAAAACCCACCTTGTTGTTTTCCCCCCTTGCAGTTACTTCAATGAGAATCAATATCCTGACGAGGCAAAGAGAGAAGAAATTGCCAATGCCTGTAATGCAGTTATACAGAAACCAGGTAAGGAGCTGGTTGTGGTGTCCTTCCCTAAAGCAACTGCAATGAGATTTTGACATCCTAGAGTCATCATAGAATGTTAAGCAGCTGGAATGGACCTTAAAGGTCATCTAGTCCCAACCCCCTGACATGGGCAGAGGCACCTCTCGCCAGACCAGGTTGCTCAAGGGTTTATCCAACCTGGCTTTGAACATTGTCAGGGTTGGGGCAGCTACATCCTCCCTGGGCAACCTGTGCCAGTGTCTCACCACCCTTGCAGTAAAGAATTTCTTCCTAATATCTAATCTAAATTTCCCTCTTTCAAATTATCCCCATTGCTCCTTGTCCTGTCACTACAGTTCCTAAAAAAGAGTCCCTCTCCAGCTTCCCTGGAGCCCTTTCGGATCCTGGAAGGTGCTATGAGGTCTCTGCACAACCTTCTCTTCTCCAAGCTGAACAGCCCCAGCTTTCTCAACCTGTCCTCATAAGGGACGTTCTCTAATGTTTGTATCAACTTTGTGGCCTTCCCTGGACTTGCCCCAGCAGTTACATGTCCTTCTTATGGTGGGAACACCAGAACTGTACACAGTACTCCACGTGGGATCTCAGGAGAGCAGAGTAGAGGGAGAGAATCACTTCCTTTGACCTGCTGCCCAGACTCCTTGGGATGCAGCCCAGGATTCAGTTGGTTTCTGGGCTGTGAGCACACACTGTAGCTCATGGTGAGTTTTTCATCACCTCCAAGTCCTTCTCCCAGTCACTTCTTCCTGCAGCCTATAGGTGTGCCTGGAATTGCCCCAACCCAGGTATAGACCTTGCACTTCATCTTGGGTTCACATCCTGATGTTTGCAAGATACATACATACATAGAATCTTAGAGTAATTTGGGTTGGAAAAGACCTCCAAGATCATCAAGTCCAGTCTTTGACCAATACAGCAGGTCCTCAGAGGAGTAAGGAGCTCATCTTTCCTGTCTTTAATTTCCTACCACCTTCCAGACAGGGATCTCTTATTAGAACCTGTGTATTTGAGTCAGACAGAGGTTGCATTTTCCCTGTTCCTGGAGAAGTCATACTTGGGAGAGAAGCATGAATATCCAGTGTAGTGTTAATGGGTGCACTTGCCTCTGCTTAGTTTTGCTAACCAAACATTTACATAGTTTTCAGAACTTGTGTTTTGGATATATTTAGGTTTTGTACAGCCAGAAAGAGAATTAATGAGAAGACAGCTAAGGTGTGAGTCATGCATATAGAGTCACAAAATTATTTTGGTTGGAAAAGCCCTGTAAGACCACTGAGTCCAGCTGTTCCCCCAGCACTGCCAAGGCCACCACTAAACCAGGTCCTCAAGTGCCACATCCACATGGCTCTTAAATCCTGTGCCAAGGCTGGACAATCCTTTCTGTGAAGGAATTGTTCCCAATATCCAACCTAAACCTCCCCCAGTGCAACTTGAGGCCATTTCCTCTCATCCTGTCACTTGTTACCTGGAAGGAGAGACCATCTCATTCCATCTCACTACAGCTTCCTGTCAGGTAGTAGTAGAGAGCTGGGGCAGTCACAGGATAGCACAGAATCAGACCAGTTAGGCTAGAAGTGACCTCTGGAGATCATATGATCAGGCAGGGCCAGCTTGGATAAAGTTGTTCAGGGCTTTACCTCATTCAGCTTTGGATGTCTCCAAAGCAGAAGGTTTCCCCACCTCTGATCTCTGTTCCAAAAGGTTGAGCCACTCTCATGGCAAAGTGCTTTCTCCAATACCTACTGAAAATTTCCCCTCTTGAAGCTTTTATGTGTTTGCTCTGTCTTTTTGTTGGGGAAGCAATAAGATCTATTGGGTAGAGCACCAAAGAGGTTAAGATTTTATTCCTGGCTGGTTTGTGGAGCAGCTTGGAACAAGCTGCTTTAAATGCTGTCTCAGGAGCAGTAAAATACTGTCAGTGGTACTGATGCAAAGCATTAGACAATAGAGTAGCTATCAATTTCTGGATTTTTCTTCGTTTCACTTGTCTCATCTCTCCTAACTTAAGTGTGCAGATTGCTGCAAATACATGTATGTTTTGTATGCTGAATAAGTAAATTCAAGGAAGAGTCAGAAGGAGAGTAGCCCAGTGTAGCCTGAAGAGAGCTGAGGATGCAGCTACATGGAATATATTATATAGGGTCAAGGACAACTGAAGAGGTTTCCAGGATGTCCTTGTGATGCTGAATCCCTTCAGTCTCCCCTCTTTTATACTGCTGAGAAGAAAAAAGTATTGTTTCCTGTAGCTGCCTTGTTGCTTTTGTGCTGGTTTAAGTGTAGAAATCCAGTGATTTGAGTTTCCAGCATCCACCCCCGCTTCTCCCAAAAGAGCACGAGTGTCCTGGCACAATTGGGAGGGTGTAGTGGGTGCTGGGGTTGAGAGAAAGGAAAGCAGATTGCAGGGGATGACACAAAGTCTCTTCATTCAGTTTGCTGCTGAAGAAAATGTGTCACTGAACTGTATCCTCATGGCACATAGTAAGAGAATGAGCCGAAGGGTCTGGGGTTTGTGGCAGGCTGTGAATTGAATCTAAGTTTTTAGAATCTCAGTTTTGTGCTTGAACTAGAAAAGCGACCCTCCCTTCTCCCACAGCTCTGGGTTTAGTTGGTTGAAGCTGCACAGAGATTCCTGTATTTCAGATTTGTAAAACACAGAAGAAAGGCTATTTCACTTTTAGTGAGGTATTTGGCATTTAGTGCCATAGCATGTGGACACAGGACTTTGATTCACATAGAATTCACTTCATTCTCAGTTATTGTAATTTTTCAGTGCTGTCTGTGTTTCAGGGGTTTATCTCATAGAATCCCAGGCTGGTGTGGGTTGGAAGGGGCATTAAATCTCATTTCACCTCCTGCCATGGGCAGAGACATCTTCCACTAGTCCAGGTTGCTTCAAGCCCTGTCCTACCTGGCCTGGAACACCTCCAGGGATGGGGCAGCCACAGCTTCTCAGGGTCTCTGAAACTCAGGGAGTAAGAATACTGTACTATTATTTTTACCTCTGTTACTTTCGTAGGAAAGAAGTTATCGGATTTGGAGCGAGTTACCTCCCTTAAGGTGTATAATTGGTTTGCCAACAGGAGGAAGGAAATCAAGAGAAGAGCCAATATCGGTAATGTATCAGAGAACCTGTTTGTAAGGGTTAGTACTTGCTCAGGAGAGGTGGCAATTACCTAAGAAAATACAAGAGGTGCTGTCAGTCTCTGCAGAAACGTGAAGGAATTATGCAAATTAGTCTCTTACTCTTCCAGGATTTTTGTAAATTTGTGTAGGAGTTTGATCTGTAGAATTTCATTATTGATGCAGGTAACAATGATTCAGTTACAGAGTTTTAATAGAAGATCAGCTTTAAAAACCAAAGTGAGAAGTTTGTTGGTAGAAAGAGAATCCTGTTTCTCTATGCTCTGACTCCTTTGGGTATCCAAAATCAAATGTGAAATGAAGCCTCAAAATATCTGCATTGGAAATAAGAGAGATTGAGACTGGCAGGTTCAAAACCTTAGTGTAGTGTTTATTCTGGTTATACCTCTGCTCCTTATAGCTTCCCAGGATTTTCCTCAGGTGACAAGTGGCTGGAACAAAGTACTATTTTTTTCTTGATGATCAAGGTAGAAGAAAAGTCACTTCAGAATTAGCCCTGTGGGTTCTCAGCATGAGCAGCTGATCATAAGGAAATTAGGAGCGACTCCGAACTTGTAAGATGGAGGTCTTCTCATGTGGATAAGACATTCCAAGGAGAATAAACTTGCCTCAGTGACCAGGATTCACCAAACTTAGGCCATTCATGCCAAATTTTATGCCCTTACTTAGGTATTATGCAGAGCTACATTTGCAGCACATAGATGAACAGAGATCCATAACTGCCTATGACCAGTAGTTTTGTAAATGTCAAATGCTCCACTATTTTGCCTTATTTCTGAATAAGAAAAAAATTTATTTGCATAATTTAGTGCATTATTAAGATTTAACCTAAATGTATTTTTCTAAAAGAGAAATTGCTTGTTAAGGGGTGAGGGGAACAAAGCAAACTCAGTCCAAGGTTGGTGGAGTTAGACTTTAGTGTTTGGGGAGGAGGGTTAGAAGGAAATTACAAAGAACCAAAGGGAGCCTTAGATGCATGGATCCTACTGGAAGATGGATATGTGTCTTTTAAATCCCTTAAGTGCTTTCAAAAATTTCACCCATCTATTTTCAGACAGTCCCTACCCCACTGAAGTCCTGCCAGTCCAAACTATGTGGGAAGATATACAGGGAATACCTTTGCCACTCCTGTGCATTAGAAATTAAGCTAATTTCTAATAGGACTGGCTGGAAAACAAGGATTCCTAGTCTCAAACAAGTCTGTTGACCGGGAGGGATTTCAGACAAACCCATGTTTGTATGTGTGCTACATTCCCAAATAGTGGAGAGTAAAGAGGAAGAGGCTAAGAACTCTGTTCCTCCTGTTACTCTAACTTTTTGAAAAAAAAAAGCCAACACAAAACCTAGTTACTTTTAATTACTCTAATGCATCAGATAAATTAGGGATCCATTTGCTTTTTTCGAAGAAGCAGCAATCCTGGAGAGCCATGGAATAGATGTACAGAGTCCAGGAGGTCATTCCAACAGTGATGACGTGGATGGCAATGACTACTCAGAGCAGGTAAGCATCAAGGCTAAGCCATGTGCCCCAAAAAGACCCTGTGACACAGGAAGAGCTCTTCCACCTCTTGAAAAATCTGATAACTCTTGGTTTTGTTATGGTTTTATGTAATTGTAATGGAGAAAGTTTGAGTATTCACCCACATGGATTTGTTGTCATACAACAGGACACTTGGCAAGTACGCAACGGGGAGGAGGAGGGAAGATGTTCAGAGGGAGGCAGAGAAGCAGAGAAGGTAGAAGAAGACAGGAGGATCTGCTCCAAACAAGCAAGTTACACCATTCACGCCACACGCAATGTATGAAACAGTTAGGAGAGTGTTAGCTCACCCAGTGCCCAGTCACACCTTGCACTCTCCTTACCCTGGCGCTGTTCTACTTGCCTGCCCTCAAGAAAGGGTGGACAGGTCTTTAACATTTGCTCCTGTGTATCAGACACCAACATGCTTCCCTGAAACACTGGACACTTATTGCACCTGTTGTTTCTTTCTACAAGAAATGCCCCATTCCAGCCTGGGCTACAGCTGCCAAGAGCTGCTGATCCATCTGCAGCAAGAGCCCTTGCCCAGGACACTTTATAATCCCTTGTGTCACTCTTGCTCAGCAAGATTGTGAGCACTGAGCACCCTCCCATAAGGTCCTGAGCTCCCTCTGTTTGCTTTATGGGAGGACCTTTCAGGGGCATCTCAGGATCCATGGTAAGACACTGACAGACAAAGAAAGGGTGAAGGGTGGGGGGAAAGGATTTGATGAACTAAAGTTTGGCCCCATACCTATTCCATATTGCTCTGCAACAATGTGCCACTATTTGGGTTGTTTGCATATTATCTGTCTTTTTTTTTTTCCTTTTTGCATTTTAATTCTTGCCTATTCTCTTATTTTCTTAGTTATTTTTAACCCTTGACAGCAACTTCTTTTTCAAATTCTCTAGCAAAAGAATACCCCTTCCCGCACTCTGAGCCCTCACCTACCCTAAAGTTGGTGACCCTTCCTTCACACACCTTCCTGACAGGTATTGCATCCCCTTCCCAATTTTCCTTCAGGTGTCAGTGTTGGCCAAACCCCCCAGGGCTGTGTGTGCTTGGCACCAGTGGCCTTGGCACGTTCACTCGCTTGGTTCTGGTTTTGCTCTGAGATGGTTCTGTGCTACCCCCAACAGCTGGGGTGGGCAGATCACTTTGCATTGAGTCCTTTGGGAGAAGTAGGAAGGTCTCCCCTCTCCAGAGACTGCTGGTGGAGTGTAAGAGCTGCTGAGTGTCCTGGAATGAGGCCCTAGCACACTTGGCTGTGGCCCAGTACAAGAGAGGTCTGGCAGAGACATCCCTGGCCACTCTGCTTCTGATGGGTATTAAGGCCCTTTTTATAGGTCATCACCAGCAGATTTGGTGGAACCAACTTTTCTGGCTCCTGATGATGAGAAACTGCTCTGTGACTGTCATAAAATATTTAGAAGGCTCTGCCAAGCCCAGATAATTCCCTGTCAGTCAGATACAGCACCTGAAGACTGAGGTGAAACGTGCTGTAGATTCCCAAACTGTTTTTCCTCTGTGTATTAACCAAAATACTTTGAAAAGAGAAATAAATTGGTTATTAAAATTTAAAGATCTTTGTTTAGAGGCCATTTTTATGACATTTCTAAGTAATCCAGACGGGCTCCTCTAGGAAGTGTAATTAGGCATTAGCAGCGAAGCAGATTAAATGGCAAGTCCTCCTGATGACCATTTAACATCTCTTAGCTGTTAAACCCATAAATTCTGTTTTCCATAGTGACACTTAAACTCTAATAAACTTTAAAACACAAAGTTCACCCAAATACTAACCAAGTGCCTAGAACTCCAGAACTTAGGGCTATATTTCTACCATGGTCAAGATAACTGAGAGGCCCTTAGAGTGTTTGCACATCACAGTATTTACCTGACAGTAGTTGTAAGCTAGTGCATTCCTTTAAATAACCTCAGGATATTAACCAAATCCTGCCATTTTTGTGCCCCCACCCCCCCATTTGCCACCTATCACCTCAATTTAAAAATGCATTATATTTAAATCTTAAACCTCACAAGTTGATCGCTTAAAGGCTGTTGAAAGAGTGATAAGTGTTTGTCATTTCCATTCTGTTAATAATAATAATTAAGAAAACTTGTGAGATCACAGTGTGGTAACTATTAGTACCTTGTACAAGAGGGAAAAACACCATGATTTTGCCCCAAGTTCCATATTGGAGTTATGGTGGTTCCAGTTGCTGCAATCACTGGTTTACTTAGCATTCCTAGAGTTTTTCAGCATCTTTTCCCCCATACCTGTGTGAATTCAGGCTCAGACCAAGGCTCAGGCTGGGTTTGTATCCTGGTTCTGAGTGAGGTCAATAGTATTTAAAGATAAAGTACTTTTGAAGTATATATAAAATGATTTCATTATAGTAGCTTCCACCTTCTGGGAGTCAGTAGTTTTGAGAGGCCTCCTGAGCCAGGCAGTGTATCCACTTTCAATTTCCATAGTTTCTAGTAGACCAACTTTCCCTGGATTTGTCTAACCCATGCCTTTTAAAGCCGTTTCTGCTGTTGTCTGGTGTCAAAATCAGTGAGTCCTGCAGTTAAACTGTGATAAGTGAAGCAAAGCTTCCCATTGCTGGTTTGGAATACATTATCATTCCAGTGAGTGCCTTTGCTGATGAGATCATAAGAAGCCATGAACAATTGTGTTCTATTTTCCAGTTATTTGTAATAAACATCTACAGTGTCTACCATCAGCCATTTCTTTTCCAAACTGGAGGATCTCAGTCTATTTCCTTGTGAGGAAGACACCCCATGCCTCTTCCCCCTTTTCTCACTACCTTTTCTAGTTCTATTGTGTTCACTAAATAGAGTCAGAGAATCCCAGAATGTTTTGGGTTGAAGGAACCTTAAAGATCATCTCATTCTAACCTCCTGCTGTGGACGGGGATGCCCATGGGGTGACCTAAATAGGCTGACCAGAACTGTATATTCCAAATGTAAGCATGAATTTGTGCAGTGCCTAGTGATTCCTGTCTTAATTTGGCTTCCTGACTTAATTTATGTATCACTTACCTTTATCATTTAATCCTTGGAAGTTGGGTGTCCCACTCCTTGCCTTACTTACCTTTGTCTGCACAGTGAGGGACATGAATCCTAACTCCATTTTGTAGATTGCTTGCACTTCCTCCTCTCATAACCAATACGCAGTGTCCTGCCCTTAGCTCATTACTTGACACACTTATTTTATCCACTGATTTTCTACTTCTGGGGTAACACTGCTTCTCTCTTCTCCTTCCCCTTGCCCAGGATGACAGCACTAGCCATAGTGACCATCAAGACCCCATTTCACTAGCCGTGGAGATGGCAGCAGTCAACCACACCATCTTGGCGCTGGCCCGGCAAGGAGCCAACGAGATCAAGACAGAGGCTCTCGACGACGACTGATACAAAGAAAGGGGAGGGTCAAAGCAAGAAGTAACTTAGTTTTAGACGTAGCACCTTAGCAGACTTTCCTCGGTCCTTAATATGTGTTCTTACAGTATAACTTTGCAGTTTCTTGTACGTCAGTTAGCTGTTAGGGTCTTGTTCTGTGAAGATGGCATGGTGCCCTCAGCCTTTGCATATACTCTCTCTCAGTATTAATTCCCAATAAATAATCAATCAACCAACCAACCTCCCTCTCCCAGCCCCAGTGGCTAGAAACAAAAAATCTTGCTGCTCTGTCTTAGCATTCAAAGTGCTTCCAGGTATTTTAGACAGCCCTCAATTACAAGTCTTAGGCTACACTTAAAATCTTGGATAACCTTAGAGATGTGTTAAAACAATAGTCTGTATGCTTTTCCTTCCCTGAGACTGAAAGGATGCAAGCTGAGGTAGTGGCACAGGGTCGATGGACACCAGATCGGGAGTATCAACAGAGAGTAAAAAGAACACTTAGAACCCCCACTTCAGCATGGGAATAAATGATTTCCAGCTGCAATAAGCCGTGCCTCACTGCTCATACAGTGACTTGATATACTTTTGGGTGCTGTGCTGAGAATGTTCCATTGGAAACACATTCCCATATTTCGGTTGATGTTCACATATTCAACACAGACATACTCTACTCTCACAAGCTGCGTGGCTTAGTGGAGAAGTACTGCCTTCTGCCTCTGGGACCATGATTGAAGCCCAGCTGGGATCATATGAAAAATGAGCTGAATGTCTAATGGACAACAGTCCACTTCTCAGAACCACTATTCATTTTTTGGCATGGCTAGCAGTGCCTGCTCAGAAGAGGTCTAGACTCTATTGATCTGTCATTAACAATTTCACCTTTTTTTCCTCCTCTTGCCTTTTCTGTCCCCACCCTACTCCCCTCTCCACTTTGCCACTTTCAAAAGCAATGTTTTCCAGGAAGGTTGTTAAGGTCATAAAACGGGTGAGTGGATTTTTTACACCTCTATGTAACTAATGCCTACATCCTGACTAGCCTGAAAGGTTCTTGGAGAACTTTTACACCCGACCTTTGCTAGATAACCACCCTAGCATAAATGTTCTCCTAAATATGAACTTTTTTTTGTTTGTTTAAGGGCAGGAGGATCTCTTACCTGAGAAATGGGGTGTGAATGTTTTGTGTTCTCTTTACTCTGTCTTTGTTAAGGTGTGAGAAAGCTATACTGCTACGAGCAATTGAATTAATAATTGGAAGCCATACTGATAATGGATGTGGTAATATTTGTAAAGCAAACCTACTTTAAGTAGCAGGAACTAATGGAATTGTTTTCCTTGATCATATGTAGCACTTTTGTTACTTTTTTCTTAAAGATATTTATATTTGATAAGTCTTTTTTTTATCATTTGAGAATTCCAAATACCAAACGGCAAACTTGCATTGCAGAGTCACCCTGCGATCACCTTGTCATCTAGTATCTAAATGATGAACTGTGTGTGCATCTAAGAAAATTACATCTGCTAGCATTGTGTGGAAATGATCTCCTGGCATCCTGATAAAATGATGTGTTGCTGCCGGTAAGAGGAAACATTTTGATGGAAACAGCACGGGAAGTGTTGGAGACAGGCAGGAAACAAGGAAAAATTAAAAACCTATGGAAACGTTTGTATAGAGATACAGAAAAAAAATTGCATAGCGTTGCCTCAACATTCCATTTTATCTTCCCAGTTTATGTGGGAATAGCTTAAAAAGGGGAAAGCAGCTCAGTCTGAAGGATGGGTTTCCCTTTTCTCCCCTCCACTTTCGAGGTGGAGGGAATGAAGGGAAGTTGCTGTTACTCATCTTGTTCTCATCCCTTCCTCACACTTAACTCTCAGATGGCCTCATGAACCCCCAAAATGTGGCTCCTCAGCAGGTTTTTAGCCAGCCCAAACCCCTCCAAGGCATAGACTGACAAGATCAGCTTTACTTCTGTTCATCTGGTGAAAACTGCTTAGCTAAGGGTGGAGGAGATTTTGTGCTTTCAGAGGGCACCGAGTTGGCACCTCTTTGTCTCTGTACCTTTGAAGATATATAGGTAGGGCTTGGCCTCGACTTTCACTTATGGATTTCATTGGAAAATTTATGTGCTTTCCTTAGATATAGATCACTGAAGCAGAATGAAACCATCTTTTTGTTCTGTTTTATTGCATTTCAGTAGGCAAATTCATAAGTAGCATCAGCGCGGACTCAGGAAAGACAGGACTTGGATCAGCAACCACTGCAGCTATTTTCTTAATGCCTGTATGAATGTTTTGGTACTAAGGAGTGAAAGGATGGGGAGAGCTTTTATTTCTATTTTTGCACAGCAGAATGATGGAGCAAACTCTAGCCTTAGTGGAATTTTACCTACTTATTCATTCCACAGTCACACACCAAGCTGACAAGCAACATCCACGATTTATAGTAAGGAGATTTTAATAATCGATGACCTCTTTACGTTGGGCTTGCCACCACCATTTGTTCTGGCTGTTTCATTTTAAAAAGAACAGACTCAAACTGTTGGACAGCTGCAATTTTAAAAGAAATATTGCTTACTATAGTGTCTGTAAAAAAAAAAAGTCATTGTTTGAAGCCTTTTTAAAGCAATAGGGAAGAATGAAATTAGTATTAGAACTTCTGTTTCCTGATTATAGGTTCATGTGATGCAGGATCAAAGTAACACCACTGAAATTGTATGTCTGTACTGTCTAATGTAGAATAATCTGCTCTTAATTCTGTTTGTCACTGTCAGGTAGCTGCTGACATCACACGCCAATATCCTCTCTGAAGGTTAAACAGGTAAACCCCCTTGTGAGTGACTGGAGATTGGCACATCCTCCTTGGCTGTAGCTTCCTGGTGAATAGCAGTTTTCTGCTTTCCCACCTCATCTTCTTACCAGAGAAGATAACAAATAACTGGGAAATCAGACACTTGGTTCCATGGTGTCAGTGTTTGAGGTGCTTCTGTCTGGTTTGGCCTTTGTTTTTGAGAGGTATGAAGCAAGGAGGGAGACATCAGCTGTTCCCAGGATGCTCGTGGCAGGCTGTTCCCTTTATTCTGAAAGATCATAGTGAGCAGTTTGTAGTTAGTTAATCACATTTTGGTTTGACATGAATTAGCTCAAATGGAGCAGGTTCTGGTGTGATGACACCAGGTGAAGTGTATGTGATCTGGAGTGAGTGAAAGAGTTGATGGAGAGTGTGTCCTGGAATTTAGCCTTTCTTCTGGGGTTTTTTCCCACAATATGGGAGTCACCTTTGTCTTTTTGTCTCTGGATTTCCTGGGGAATTAAGCCTCATTTTTATAGCATTGCAATTCAGTTGCAGTTTGTTGTAGCCAGTCTGGAGTTACTGCAGTTTTCCTGTGGGTTCCCTTGAAGTGGGTCTGGGCACAGACCAGATCTACCTTTTTGTTCTGTGAATAGAGAAGTTATTTAAGATGCTCCTCATCTATGATGGGCACAGATTGCTTTTACCTTCGTACAGTAAGTTCTGGCTGTTATTTTGTCCCTCATAAAGTCCTTATACTTGAGTTGTCTCAAACCGTCTTCTTAAAACAACAATTTCTACCTCCACTTCTTGTTTGGGTTGTTTTGGGTTGGTTTTGTTGGGTTTTTGTAATTCTCCCACCTTCTTCCTGAGGTATAAGATCCCAAACGTTTGCAAAAGTATTGTGAGTTGATAAAAATCAGCAGACATGTTATCTGCTAATCTTCTAAATCCTCTCTAAATACACCTGTTGTGATAGTGAATCCCATTACCTGTGTGTTGGATGTGAACTAGTTGCTTGGGAGTCAGCAGTGCACCCTTGCAGCACTTAAGGAATCTCATTAAGAGCCTTCAGCAGGTTATGGAAAGCAATTAGTCCCCTCTGTTCATCATTTGTGGGACCATTGTGTGGGCAGGAGGGAATCCATCTCAGAGTTGCTGAGATGTGGGGGTTGGAGCACATGTCATATGGTGAGGGATTTCAAGAGCTGCATTTGTCCAGGCTGGCTCTAGGCACATCCTTGATTTCTGGTTTTAGCTGTCTTAATAGGTTGGTTTTAATTAGAAGGTCCTGTGCAGGATCAGGAGTAGGACTGTGGTGATCCTTGTGGGTCCCTTCCAACTCAGGATGTGCTGTGATTCCAGAGAAGACAGAGCCAGGCCCTTCTCAAAGATGTATGGCAAAAAGGTGAGGGGCAGTGGGCTAAAGTTGCATTAAAGAAAATCCCAGATGAATATAAAGAGAAATATTTTCCTACTCAGAGTGGTAGAACTGTGGCCCAGAAAGGCAGTGGAATTCCCATCCTCTGGGATATTCAAATATCAACTGGACAAGGTTAGATTAGAGACTTCCAGAGGTTTGTTCTGACCTAAATTATGCTATGATTCCATACAGATCTGCTCAGGTTGAGGTGTCCCTAGTTCTGATTTACACATGTTGACTTCTTTAAAGAACTTCTTTTAATTTGTTGGGGTTTTTTCTGTTTTGCTATTCATAAAAATTATCTTTTCTAGTCTACTAATAGAGAGGAGCTTTATTTGCAGGGTCTGGCTCCAGGCTCCAATCAAGCCATAAGTTATAAATTCCATTAACTGTTTGCTCTGTTTACACAGTTCTTCAGGGATATTTGACTTACTCTGTTTGTTTCATTGCCTAACCTCAGACTGGTAAGTTTGTCATGTTTTCATAACATTTGTGATCTCTAAATCAATTTTTGCCTTCATTTGTGAGGATTTATCCTTGTCTTGCTGCTGAAAAATTCCACATAGCTGAACAGATTAGAGGAAAAGCTGTGGTTAACCTAAGCCCAGTGGTGAATACTGTGATAAGCTAGAAACTTTGGTGAATTTCAGAATTGGTGATTATCAGAAGCTGAAAGGGTATGACTGGGAAAAGTTACATTATACTCACTTGGATCCTCCTTTTCTTTCCTGAAGTGTTTGCTGTTGGCCACTGGTAGGAAGTGAAGTGTGGTAGTTGTAAGAGGGTTTCATAAGGAAATAGCTTTTATTTTTCATATAGATAAAACCCTTAAGATTGGTGCAAGAATTTTCAAAACTCAAAATTACTGCTTTAATGCAGGATTTTGGTTCCCTGTGTGTGATCTTAACTTGAGTTCAAAGCTGGAGCCACACTTCTCTCTGCAAATTACTGAGATTCAGTGTGAGATTTTGCTCATAGCCCTAAGCCGTAGATTTTCAGTAGGAGAAGATCTTTACCCCTGGAATTCTGCTCATTTTAATTAATAATTTTCTTAGC